GGGAAAAAACTGGAAAAATGATTTGTTTCTCCCTCTCTTCCTCTGTTAATAATAATTTTATTATTTAGCATTTTTTCTTTAGTGTCCTTTTCTGCTGGAGAAGCTTAGGAAATGTGAAGTATTTGTTAAAAGGCTAATGAACAAGTACTGTCTAATTATTGACATAGAAAACAGAACTGTCATTGGGAAACTGGTTTTAGCTTGTATAGATTCATATGCAGTAGCTGCACACTCCCAGATAGGTGATAAAATGAGGCATATGATGCATGCCCTATATTTCTCAGGAGCAAGGGCCATCCATTTGAGATCAAGTATCTTATAGCTTAATTCTGAGAACAAAGTACAATCTCTGCCTGTAATACAGCAGGTAGTTATAGAAATTAAAAACAGAAAAGAGCTTTTAAATAGAGCTGGTAGAGAATTTTTGAATGAAACAGGTTTTGATTGGAAAATACCAATTCATCAAAACCAAACTGTTGTGGAGAAACGTTTAGATTTCAGCAAACCCCCATTAGAAACCAGCCAGCTTTCCTTGCTGGCTGTTGGGGACTACCCTGAGAGTTGTAGACCCTGGGGATTCCAGAGCTTCCAGGCTTCCTGCTGTGGAGATGGGAGCCTGGAAATCCTGGGGCTGTTGTGGCTTCCAGGCTCTTTGCTGTGGAGGCAGGAATCTTGAAGGGTGCTCCTGGCTCCTCATCAGTCAATTAGGGCTGATGGGAAATTGGAAGCCTCGGAGCTTGGGCTCCCAGGCTCAATTTCATTGCAGTTTTCTTAATGAAACATTTTGATTATTCCAAAACAAATGTTTAGATTTTCTCTTCTATGGGCATTTTTATACTCTTCCTTCTTAAAAGGGATGATTTATTTTTCCCCCAGAATTTCCTGTGAATCAGAAATTTCTACATTCAACCAGCTCTACTTCTGAGTCTCCACACTCACCTACCTGCTTGCTTGGGGTGCATTCCCCACTGCTTTCTCAGGTCTTGTTTTAAATCTTACAGGCAATGGACCCCTCCCCCCCGCCCACCACTTCTCTTGGGATGCTATTCCACCGTTCGGTAGATTTCACTGTTCTCCTGATAGTCATCTTAAATGTATTTATTTACCCGTTCTTGCTTTCATCTTATTACTATTACCCTTTGCACCTCCCTAAACAATTGTTCTCCCTTTTTAATGTTCACGCATCAAATACTTGCTGCTGTTAATATATCATCTCTTAGTTGTTTAGCCAGACTAAACAGATTTAGCTCATTTTATCCTTCCTTGTAAGCATTCTCCCCAGACACTTGATCATATTTGTTGTTTTTCCTCTGAATGCCCTGCAATTTGTGCACTGCTTTATTGTATTATTGTGCTTAGAGATGAACACAGTATTCCAGCATCCAACAATTTATCTCACCAGCTTTGTATACAGAGGCATCATCACCTCACTGGTCTTTGCACTGGTCTGCAATTTAGCCTCAGACTGATGAGATTTTGTTTTATTTTATGCCATATAACACTTCACTTTGCTGTCCACTGTCACCCCAAATCTCTATTTTTGACATTGCTACTTTCAAAGTACTGGTTCTGTCTTCTTGTAAAATATGTGTTGTAATTTTCCATCTTAACTTGCCTTTCTCAATGTCAATCACCATTTTGTTGCTTTCTGCTGATGTCTCCAATGTCTCTTGCTCGCTTTATGTTATTTCTCTGTCCTTGCTGCTCTTCACAACACCCCCAATTTAGTATAATCTGTGAAATTCATAATGTGCTCTTTATTTCTTCTTCCCAATCATTTATGATAGAGATGCCACAAGTTCACAACTTTTGTATGTCTGTTATCTGCTGGCGTATTGCTAGTCAGATATTACACACTAGTAACAAACCCAGTATTAATGGAGGTACAACTTGATCAGGCTACTAATGTTTTGATCTTGTTTTGATGACATGAATATTAATTATTCTGATGGATGACAGCTGCATACGGTTGTATGCTCACAGTCTTTTAGTCTTTTCTTTCTATGGCAGGTTCTTCATTTGGTCTTGTGCCAGGGATTTTGAATATTTCAGTTCCTCTGCGACCAAAAAGCTGCAAAGTTATTAGTTTGCTGAGCTATCCATCCTTGGCCTAGGAAAATAAAGAACGAATATGTATTCACCAGCTTTACTTATCATAGAGAAACCAGTGTTAATCATAGAATACTAACTCCAATGGTCCACTTATACCAAACTGACTCAGTCATGCAGCGGTACATTTCAGTACAGAAAACAAATGTATAATGGAGAAAAAGAGAGGAGAGTGGAAGCCAATGGGAGAGAAGGGAAAGGAGAGGAAGTTAAATGTTGTTACAACATTGAAAATGGGATTTCTTTGAATATTTCCTATAAGCTAGGCACCAGAGTTTCTTCTTTTCCTTCTGAATTCATGTGGTGCAGTAGAAATCATTAAAAAAACATTCACCAGCTATTACCACCTGACATAGAAAGCTCTTATTTTAAATGCAAGTATAAACCTGGTAATTTCAATGACACCCTGTGTAGTAACCATTGGCACATGCTGAGTTGTTAATGGTAAGTATCGTATCTCCACCAGTCAGCTGGTCAGACATTTTCATGTTCTTCTGTCCCTCCCTGCAACACTCTCTTGCTCTAATGCATTGAATATTTCCTTAGCAATCTTAGCTCTGGAAATCTTATATGTTTTAGGACAGAGCTATATACAGAACCCCAAGGGCTTTCAGAATATTGGTGACTCTTGTAGAAATCAAATTTTCAAGATAGAAACAAAAATCCTGTTCTTTCTTTTCTTCCTCCTTTCCCACAGAATGTTGTTTCTTGTTGTTGTTGTTGTTGTTTTTTAATTGTGATAGTAAATGAACACAATGGTCATGACCTTTTTCTTTCAGCTCATTGCAAAAGAGCAGCATAGTCCCCAGCAGCATAGTCCAAGCTAATTTTTGTGACTAAATCCTGCTGAACCCTCAACACTGCTAAAATCATCACTTTCACTGTTTTTTTCTTGAAGCTCTCCCAACTAAGTAACGCTTCTGAGATACAGAGATTGCAGCTCACTGTAGCAGCACTCCAGAATTTTAGCAGCTGGATTCTTTATTGATGAGCAAATTAAGCATTCCCTCTCATAAAGGTGTGAATCTGTTACCTGGAGAGAGAAAATTTTGTTGCCTTACCTGGAAAAGTCAGGGAAGAGGAATGGTTAGCTGAAGTGCACATTTTCTATTGGTTTCCAGCTGCCTGACTGATCAGAATAACTGAAAGGAAAAGAAAATAGCTACTGGGATTTAGTTAAGTTCTGGTAGCCATGAATCTGGTAGCCAAGTGTTGCCACTATGCATATGGGGTCAACTCCCACTCCCTTCCTCCACTATGTTGTGCCCAAGAAACAGCAGAACTGTGCTGCAGTTTGAGTTAGGATTTGGGGAGCCTGTGCACTGTAGGTCTCCCTGTGTGGTTCTCAGGTAAGCAGGGGTTGGCTGGGGGAAGAGCTGGGCAGGACCAGTGTACCTGTTACCCCACCAGCAGCCTTTGACTCCTGTAAATGGAGCAGAGGGGAGAAGCAGCAGGGGATAGTTATAGCCTTAGGACTGCAACTGTGTCTGTGGAATGTAGCCTTCCTTCCCTCCCACCTAAACCCCTTGGGCCAAGCTTGGTTACTGAGGCAGGAAGGTCCAGGGAGAAGATGTTAATTTGGTGAATCTAGGTAATATTTTAGACAAAGTATATTTAAATTACTGTTACATAAACCTGAGATAGTTTATTGGCTCCTTCATGTACTGCTGGTAACTATCGCTGCATGAGTATCTATATAGCACATGGACAAATAAAATCCCCAGGCATCAGTGGGTATCAAATACAGTTTCATTTAGCATATTGATCTTTGCCTGCCTGTTAGATGAAATTGAAAATTTCTAAATGGAATGGAAGCTTAATGGGAGTTGAGACATAAATATATAATCTGTCAGTATTCCTCATGAGAGCAAGAGTTTAATTTAACTTGGAAGGGATCTATATTTAAATAGATTTCACTGTGTTAGGATTCAAATTCCTTTTAATAGGCAATTACAATTAATGCGGAGAATGGAGATGGAAAAAATCCGTTAACTTAAAGGGAAACCTTTAAGCAAAATATGACCCAAAGTTCAGGTTTTTTATACAAAGCTTTACAAACCTAAGAATGCTTCCATGTTTTAAAAAAATAATTCCAGTGAAAACTATATTCAAATATACCCCTACAGTGTTTTTGCAAATTTAACATGGCAGCATTGTACTTGTGCATGAACACTGATTACAAACTGATTAAAAATTACTATTTTCATTGACCAAAAGAGAGAAATTAAAAGAGAACTCAAACAGCATAAATAGTGAAAAGTAACTAAGACTCATAAAATTCTTTTAGTTTTAATAATCAAAGGTGTCGGTAACACAGGTAAGTAAATGTTTTGTTTTTTAAATATATTTTACCTAATGGTATTCATTTAGCACAGGATTTATTAAAAAAATATTTTTTCACTCTAGATTTACTTTGTAAAGCTCTTGTATTTGAAATCCCTCAACACAGTTTGCAGGTGAAAGTTGAAGCATTATTTTCTATACTGATTTTTTAGAAAGTAACTGGTTAGCCTAGTTCTACACCATTATATTTCTTCAATAGAATAATCTGAAACCGTATTTTATACAAACATTTGCACATTTTATTCTTTGGTACAGCGTCTGTAAAATAGTTTTAGCTCTTGACTCGTAAAGTCTAAGACAAAAATAAAAAGAAGCTCATATCCGTAGGGCCATTAATACTTAACTGAATTTCTTTGTCTCATTTGCACAGCTGTGAAAAAGGGTGGGGGTGTGATTTGGTTGGTATTTTATCAAAGTGGTAGTGTTGTATTGTACGCTGTGACCAAAAGGGCTAATATGATCCTTGGCTGTATAAAATGGGGACTATCAAGTAGGAGTAGAGAGGTTACATTACCTCTGTCAAGCATTCTTACAACTACAATACCCACCTGCTGAAGTGAAGAAACAGATTGACAGAGCCAGAAGAATACCCAGAAGTCACCTACTACAGGACAGGCCTAACAAAGAAAATAACAGAATGCCACTAGCCGTCACCTTCAGCCCCCAACTAAAACCTCTCCAATGCATTATCAAGGATCTACAACCTATCCTGAAGGATGACCCATCCCTCTCACAAATCTTGGGAGACAGGCCAGTCCTTGCCTACAGACAGCCCCCCAACCGGAAGCAAATACTCACCAGCAACTACATACCACACAACAGAACCACTAACCCAGGAACCTATCCTTGCAACAAAGCCCGTTGCCAGCTGTGTCCACATATCTATTCAGGGGACACCATCACAGGGCCTAATCACATCAGCCACACTATCAGAGACTCGTTCACCTGCACGTCTACCAATGTGATATATGCCATCATGTGCCAGCAATGCCCCTCTGCCATGTACATTGGTCAAACTGGACAGTCTCTACGTAAAAAAAATAAATGGACACAAATCAGATGTCAAGAATTATAACATTCATGAACCAGTCGGAGAACACTTCAATCTCTCTGGTCACGCGATTACAGACATGAAAGTTGCGATATTACAACAGAAAAACTTCAAAACCAGACTCCAGCGAGAAACTGTTGAATTGGAATTCATTTGCAAATTGGATACAATTAACTTAGGCTTGAGTAGAGACTGGGAGTGGCTAAGCCATTATGCAAGGTAACCTATTTCCCCTTGTTTTTTCCTACCCCCATCCCCGTTCCTCAAACGTCCTTGTTAAACCCTGGATTTATGCTGGAAATGGCCCACCTTGATTATCATACACACTGTAAGGAGAAAAGGAGTACTTGTGGCACCTTAGAGACTAACCAGTTTATTTGAGCATAAGCTTTTGTGAGCTACATCCGATGAAGTGAGCTGTAGCTCACGAAAGTTTATGCTCAGATAAATTGGTTAGTCTCTAAGGTGCCACAAGTACTCCTTTTCTTTTTGAGAATACAGACTAACATGGCTGTTACTCTGAAACCTGTCATTGTAAGGAGAGTGATCACTTTCGATAAGCTATTACCAGTAGGAGAGTGGGGTGGGGGGAGAGAAAACCTGGATTTGTGCTGGAAATGGCCCACCTTGATTATCATACACATTGTAAGGAGAGTGATCACTTTAGATAAGCTATTACCAGCAGGAGAGTGGGGTGGGGAGAGAGAAAACCTTTTGAAATGATAAACACACACTTTTTTCATGGTCTTTGTGTATAAAAATCTCCTCACTGCATTTTTCACTTTTATGCATCCGATGAAGTGAGCTATAGCTCACGAAAGCTTATGCTCAATTAAATTGGTTAGTCTCTAAGGTGCCACAAGTACTCCTTTTCTTTTTGCGAATACAGACTAACATGGCTGCTACTCTGAAACCTACATTACCTCTGTATTTGGCAGTGGTGTGATGGCTGCTGGAATACTTTGTCCATTTCTGGTGCACACAGTTCAAGAAGGATATTTGTAAATTGGAGAGAGTTCAGAGAAGAGCCATGAGATTGATTAAAGAATTAGAAAACATGCCGTATTGTGGCAGACTCAAGGATCTCAGTCTATGTAGTTGTCAAAGAGAAGGTGTGATGGTCATGGAACTGCTACGTAATAATCTGTGACTGCTGAGATGTAATTATGTGACCTCATCAGTGAGGTAAAGTTACTGTGTAACTGTGGTGGGTTATTAGAATTTCATGTATGATTGTGTATAGATCTAACTTATATATTATATTGGGGGTAGTGCAATGTTTTATTATATGCCTATAATCCTTTAATTCAGTGGGGTCTGTGCATAAAGGCAAAACAATGGCTTCCCAGGTAATGGCATGCAGGCACACACTTGAAAGAAAATGGCACACACTTTAGCTTCAGGGATCCTGTATTCTGTCTCCAACAGCTGCAAGCCTGGAGATCAAAAGAATACTAAACTGTCAGAGGAAGAAGGTGGAAAGGTGTCAATTGTCAGAAGCTGAAGAGAGAGAGAGAGAGAGAGAGAGAGAGTCTGATGGAGAAGAGAGATGCTGCAGAGGAGTCTGGAGGAGCTTGGCCTTCCCCGTTCCAGGGAATGTTAAGCTTTAGGGAAAAGCAGGCATGTGTATAGACTGATTTATTGTTTTCAAGATATGTGTTCTCTGAAATGCTGTTCTAATAAATAATACTCTGCTTTAAAAGGCTCTCTAGTTACTGGTTACCATTGTTGTTGCTCAGACAGGGAACAGATTTGCAGGATCTAAGTCCAAGTCAGACCTGCTATGGTAATCACAGTTCATCACAGGGGACTGAAGCCAGGTTCCGGTCTAACGGGGAGATTGTGTGATTCCAGCCCAAGAGAGGTGACAGCCAAAGGCCTGGGATGAAACTCAAAGAGATAAGGAGGGGACAGAGATGCAGTGAGCCCGGTAACCATGACAGAGAGTGAAGCTAGAAGGGCTGGAAATTGAAGCTAGACAAATTCAGCCTACAAATAAGGTGCAAATTCTAAAAAGTCAGTGTAATTGACCACTGGAACAATTTACCAACAGATTTGGTGGAATTTCCATCACTGGAAATCTTTAAATCAAGATTGGATGTTTTTCAAAAGATATGCTCTGGTTCAAACAGGAGTTAATTCTGTGGAATCCTATGGCCTGCATTATACAGGAAGTCAGGCTGCATTATCACAATGGTCCCTGCTGGCCTTATAATCTATGAAAATTTTGCGGAAACATATTAGATCAGAAGTTCCTGAAGTGGGATGATGTGTGGATTGTTGGTGGTCCAGGTAGCACTTGCTGGTCTATGGAAAGCTCACTGGCCACATTCTGCTGGTTCTCCTCCTTGCTTGTATCTAAGAGGAAGAGGAAAAATAGATAGTAAACAATGTAAAAACTTACTATAATTGACCCAAGAAAGTTGTGTGATTGATTCGTACTAACACATATGAAGGATTCATTCTGTGAAACAATTTGTGAATTTCTGTAGATGTGTATATGTGTGTATTTGTCAGGGCTTAAAGTGTAGTTTGCCCTTTCAAGATAGGGGGTTAATTTATTATACAGTACAATAAGTATCTCTTCTCAGGAGAGTCTTTTAATTCCTGCTGCTCTTCATTTACATCAGAAACAACAAGTAATTAGTAATACACTTTTCACTATTGATGTTCTGGGCAATGAGGCAACTCAGAGAGCAGTGACCTTTAGGAGAAGAAGAAAATAGGAATGTTGAAAAGAGCTAACCAACTGCACTGAGAGCTGTAGATTATAGAATGTAGAGGTAAATATATCAAGTCAAATCATCAGTTGTGCTCCCCTCGCCATGCAGGACTGTTCCCAAGAATATATTTATTGTTGTTCAATCTATTTTTAAATGTCCAGGTGATGGAACTTCCCCTTCCTCCCTTAAGAAAGGACTTGCAGAGGTAGCAAGGGTAACCAGGAAAAAGGCAACGCCTACTGACAGTTAACACACTGGCATCTGAGTGAGAAATAATATAATTACAGTATCTCAGGTAAATGTCTTTATAAAGGTGACCCTATACTTCTGTATGTTTCATATGCATGAACAGAGCATCCTTTGGAGAGCCTAAGTTTAACTAATGTAGGAGTTGCAAATTAGTTATTACAATTCACTAAATGAAAAATATCTGTCTGTGAGCACTTGAATGAATTGTATTCTGTATGTAGTCAGCTTCTTTTGAAGTGTACTTTAGAAAGCTAAATAATCTGTAAACTTTAAGTCTGCAATGCTGTTTATGCATTTATTGCACCATAATTTAGCATTTGACTTCAATGGGACTGTGATAGGGCATACAAACCCCACCCCAGGAAGGAAGAGGCTAAGCACCTGCTCTGAGCCAGGCAGCCCTGTCCTGCCATACCTGCAAAGCATGCCTGGCTTGGAGGAGGAGTCTAAAAGGAGAGCAGGCCAGCTCAGTTGAGGCAGATAGTAGAAGAGTGCAGATCTGTCCTCTTGGGAAGCAGTACTACAGGAGCTTTGTCTGCCTGAGACCTATCAATAGTGACCCTACCAAGCCTGCAAAGGAGGGACTGGGGATTGTCCCCGAAGCTTGCTTTTGTGTTCAATTCTTTAACATAGCCTGTGGGAAAAGTAGGCTCTTGTAGGAAATGATCCAGGGAGGCAGGTGCATAGCACTCCAAGGTGCTCCCTTGGGCCCTGGATAGGGGCTTGGTGGAGAGCGTGGGCCCAGGCTCCCCTACCAACCTTTAAAGAGGAGACAATGATAGAAGCCTATCCGTCAGCAGGGAACCTAGTTGGGGCAGACTCTGAAAGTCTAGACCCTGAGTTGAGGACTAAGCCCCAAAGCCCTGGCAGACATCAAAAGACTTCCACATTATTGGACTTCTTCTGCATACCCCAAAAGGAGTGGACTGGAACACATGACCTGGCTGGAAGACCGAGTAACAGAAGGGCCAGATCACCACAGGATCAGGGCAGCTATCTACAGGGGCACCCAGAAAAGCTTGGGCTCCCGGGCTCAATTTCATTGCAAAATGTTATGAATGAAACATTATGATTATTTCAGAACAAATGTTTGGATTTTCTCTTCCATAGACAATTTAGAAATGTATACTCTTCCTTCTTAAAAGGAATGATTTTTTCCCCCCAGAATTTCCTGTGGAACATTAATTCCAATGTTTGACCATCTCTACTTCTGAGACTCCTCACTCACACACCTGTTTGCCCAAGCCCATTTTCCACTGTTTTCTCAAATCTTGTTTTAATTCTTACAAGCAATACCCTCCTGCCACCACCACCACTTCTCTCGGGATGCTGTTCCACAGTTTGGTAGATTTTCCTGTTTTCCTGTTAGTCATCCTAATTTTATTTATTTACCTGTTCTTGATTTCACCTTATTACTGTTACCCTTTGCACCTCCCTAACCAATTGTTCTCCCTTTTTAATGGGCACATGTCAAATACTTGTCGTTGTTAATATATCCTCTCTTAGTTGTTTACCCAGACTACACAGATTTAGCTCATTTTATCCTCCCTTGTATGAAACTGTGGGCTGAGCAGTGTG